GAGAAAAAGGAATTGATTTGTGCTCGACGGGAGACAAAGCAACTGATTTTCCAAAATAGTCAGTTGCTGAAAACAATTCCTTTAAAAGATTGACTTCAAATTCACTCTTGCTGCGTTTCTCAGAGATTGTTATGATTTCTTTTTAATGATTAGTTTTATCTCTTCCTTGATTTCTTTCTGTAATTTGCAGCTGGAAGTGGGTCTTCCTGCAGCCCTGTTTTTGCCAGAAAACAAAAAGGTGATTATATCTATGAAATCTGTGCCTGGTCTTCTATTTTGCTATCTATTTTCGTTACTTTGACTTGGAAAACTTTGATTGGTTGGTTCTTGGTCCTTCATTCTTTTTTTTTTTTCTCCTTTTGTCATATATTATTGCTGATCTTTAAAAGAATTGTAGTTTATGTCTCATTCTTTGCTTTTTGCTCTTGTTAAAATTATAGAAGGTATCATAATGAAGTCCTACTGATGGGGTTGCAAATAATCAGTAGTTGACTTGATGGCACATAAGCAATCAAAATGAATTGATTTGGTTAAATGTCTAAAAGATTATAATACTCCTTTTAATGCAATACTTTGTTTCAACAAAGTACATTCCTTTTTTTTTCTTTAAAAAAAGGTTGCTTTTGAGTGAATTGTATTACCTTTGATTTGAATTTTTGTGGCATTTCCCTAATAATGCACTGCTATGTTGTGTCTGGAATGTGGTAGCTCAGTGGCTAAGTTGCTGAGCTTGTCGATCAGAAAGGTCGGCAGTTTGGCGGTTCGAATCCCTAGCGCCACGTCACGGAGTGAGCTCCCATTTCTTGTCCCAGCTTCTACCAACCTAGCAGTTTGAAAGAACGTAAACAATGCAAGTAGAAAAATAGGGAACCCTTTGGAGGGAAGGGAACAGCATTCTGCGCACCTTTGAAGATGTTTAGTCATGCCAGCCACATGACCACAGAGACGTCTTCAGACAGTGCTGGCTCTTCGGCTTTGTAACAGAGATGAGCAACAGCCCCTAGAGCCGGAAATGACTAGCATGGATGTGCAAGGAGGGGAACTTTTACCTATATTGTGTCAAACAAAATTATAAACAGGTAGGTAGCGAGAGAGAGAAAGATGGCGATGGAGATAAAAATTGAGATATAGATACAGGTAGTTCTTGATTTATGATCACAATTGAGCCCAACATTGTTGTTCCTAAGTATTGCAAGGCTAACTCTGCCAACTGCCAGCAGTTCAATCCTGACCGGCTCGAGGTTGATTCAGCCTTCCGTCCTTCTGAGGTCGGTAAAATGAGGACCCAGATGATTGGGGGCAAGAGGCTGACTCTGTAAACAGCTGAGAGTGGGCCGTAAAGTACTGCGAAGCGATATATAAATCTTAAGTGTTATGGCTAATGTCCAGTGGTGAGTTGGCTATGGCGAGTTGTCCCTTGGTCAAGTTGGCCATGGCAAATTGACCATGGCGCGTTGTCACATTCCGCTTTGCCCTGCTGACCGTCTGCCTCTTTGGCGTTCCACGAGACAAGCAGGGACCATTCCTGATGTGAGTCCCTTTTTAGAGTCAAACATACCTGAATCTTGTTTGTTTCCCTCATGTTTCCTTTCGGGCTCCAATGCACTCGCTTCATTGTATTAACATCGCACACTCAAGTGCGCATTCTCTATTTTTCAAAGGTCCACTTCAAGAAGCAGCGATGCTGAAAAACTGTTTGAAGAGCGCTCTGTTTTGTGAGCCAGGCAGTCTCTTGTCTTGAGTTCTGCGTAATTGTGCCGCAGTATACCCATAGTTTGAGAGAATCCCTTAGTTATCCTAAGTCACACGAGGCCTGATCCGAGAAATCCATTGTTTGGACAGCCCCCTTTCTCTGCGGAATGGCCTGCCTGCCCTTTATTTAAAACCATTTAAACCAGTGGGTTCCTACCTTGTTCGCTACCCGTCCGATGGGTGATCGCGCATTTGCGCATGCATCCCTGACACACATGCGCGTGCCAATCAGCTGAGAGGATGAAGAAATGAAAAGTTAGTCGCTTGTCGCTTGTTTTATCCTCTCAGCTAATCGTCGGACCGGTAGTTATTTTTACTACCGGTTCGGCTGAACCGGGCCAAACCGGGAGCATACCACCTCTGATTTAAACCATTGCCTATCACCTCCTGCAAAACGAGGCGATGGGGACCTTCCAGATTTTTTAGGCCAAATTTTAAAAACAGGGTTAACGATTAGAGCTGGCTGGATAATTTGAGTCCTCCATACCTTCCCAAGAAGAACGATGGGAGCTGGGTAGAGCATCCGTTAGATGGCTTTGAGCTCACGGAGGAAACGGCAGGCGAGAAAGTGTAACTCGAAAGATTAAAAAGAACAACAGCTTTGCAAAAGGACAATCAAATTGTTGCACGGAGTGTATGATAAAGTTGTCAGGATTTTATTTAATTATTTATCTTTAAATCTTGCATTGATTTGTCAGCCAAAGTACTTTCAGGAGAAGAAAGTCTGGAAGATGATTCTGAAGCCAAATCTGAAACCAGCCAGATGGGCTTTGCAGGTAGGTTGGCTTTCTCAATCCTTGTGAGAATGACTGAAATCTATGCTACTGTCATTTTTCTTGACTCGTGATTTTACTGCCTTCTTAAAAAAAAGAAAAAAAAGAGAGTTGCGTGTATTACGTAATAAAATCTTCCTTTTTCCTTTTAGGGTCTGTGAAAAGCGAGCTAAACAGTGAATTGACATCCACGTCGGGCATCTCTCCTGTGGCCAGCTCGGCCTCTGACCCTCCGGTTTGTGACATCATCACGGAGCAACCCCGTTCTCAGCACATCTTGCAGTCCGAGTCCGAGATCTCTGCTTGTGATTTGACAGGCGCGACCCCGAAAGCCGATACGGATGACGACATCCTGAGCAGGAGCTCCAGCCAGATCAGCGCCATCCAGTCCGACGTGAACGACGGCACCTCGTCGCCCATCAGCGACAGCTCTCAGACCACCACAGAAGGGCCGGACTCGGCTGTGACCCCGTCCGATTTCTCTGAAATGGTAAAAAGTGGTTCCTAAGGGTTAGCTCCCCAAACACAACGAACCCTCTGATGTGAACTCAAAAGATTCCTGTCAGGATTCCGGCAGTTACCCCCAATTAAATCATGAGTCTCGAACCAAACTTCTAAAACTTCAAAAGGATTTATTGGGAGTTAACATGTCCGCCACTGCCTGGGTGCAGCTGACTCTGAGACACATCATTCATTGTAACCCTTGACCCTAGTTTTCTTTCTCCACCACCCCCTGGGTGTATCGTAATTCATATTCTCCAATGGGACACATCCATAGCCCAGAGTCATCAATCATGCTCTCCAGTTAGAATTTTGCACGGCAGAAACTTCAGTCACCTAGTTACTATCTTTGAAAAACATTTATGGAATGCACTTTCGGTTTGCAAGCTGTCTCACTGCTCCCCCCTCCCTTTCTGTTGGCAACTTTAAAAAGACCATAGAAATATTTTATGAGTTGACAATTCCTTTATTAGGAATGCCAGCAGCCCCAGCAAAAAGTTTCTCTCGCAGGCTAACAAGTCTGTCCAGCTGGAAGATGAATAGTTGTCTGCCCTCTGCCTTCTATCCCCGGAGCTAGGATGGGGCTTCACTAGCAGCGGTGGCTCTTCTGTCCCAAGGACCGGCCCATAGATTTCCACTGCTCTCCTCTCCTCTGCCTTCTTTGCATCCGCGCGTCAGGCACTGGACACTGACTTGACTGATAATGTTGTTGTTGTTTTTTTGGGGGGGGGGGGAAGGATGACACGCAAAGAACATGGAAATAACTTACATTCTCTTAACTGAGCATCTATATATAGAAGACAATATGTATATTACACAAACTATTCCAAAAATATGAGTTCCAAGTATACTTGGAAGAAACAGACATCTTGCGATCTCCGGAACTGAAATTATATTTATTATACTTACTAAGCTTTCGTCAGCCTCTGCTGACATCATCAGAATATTAAACTAGAGATCTATGCCTTTATATATCATTAATCAATTTAGACCTTGCATGCGTAATAGGCCCTTCCAACCACCTTCTACCTGTAATTAACTTTGACGATACTCTGACGATGTCAGCAGAGGCTGACGAAAGTTTAGGAAGTATAATAAATATAATTTTTGTTCCGGAGATCGCAAGATGTCTGTTTCTTCTTTTACACATACACACACATACACACACAGAATGTTGGTAAAGCTCATTTTAAAATTTATGTTTCCATCTAAAACGAAGGGTTTCCAAAACTCGCAGCATTCAGACATGTGGACTTCAACTCCCAGAATTTTTGAGCCAACCAGGCACTCTGTGAGTTGAAGTACACAAGTCTTTAAAAAGTTATTGGGTTTTTTGTGGGGGCCAGGGGCACCTGATCCGAACCGCTTTGAAAGTTTATTCTACTGCTGCATCATAGAGAATATTGCGAGAATAATATGAGAATACTTACTGTTCTGTGTTTGATTTGCCAATTGCACGGTGGCAGATAGGACAGCCCTCCAGAGGGTTAACATCATTGCCCAGAGGATCATTGGTTGCCCTCTCCCCTCTTTGGAAGGGCTTTAGAGCTCCTGCTGCCTTAAGAAAGTTCAAAACATCCTCAAAGATCCATCTCATCCTGGGCACCCGCCCCCCCTTTTTTTTTTTGAACTATTACCATCTGGCAGAAGGTACAGGACAATAATAAAAACAAGGACAAACAGGCTGAAAAACAGCTTCTATCCCAGGGCAAGTAGCTCTGTTGGATTCTACTGTATAGTGTAATATTAATGCAATATCAGGGGTTTTCACATTCAATGTATAGAACGCGAAGGATGTGTGTTTGTGTTTATTTTCATCGTCATGATGTATACTGAAGACGGTATCTAATTTCATTGTACGAGGTGCAATGATAAAGTAAACTAAACTATTCCGTGTGTAAAATTTAGATTCTAGAAGGTGGGGAGAACCAATACTCTGGAATGCAAATTGGACAGCTGCAGGAGGAGGAAGACGAAACGACAAGCATTCTACACGAGGCGATGGATCCGTTCCGAAATTCGTGCCTTGGTACGTTGACGTTTTGTGGAAGCAAATGCGGATAATTCTCAATTTATGACCTCCCCCAACTGAGCCCCAGATTTCTGTTTCTCCTCCTCCTCCATCATTATCATCATCATTATTGTTGTTGTTGTTGTTGTTATTATTTTAAAGAGCTTCAGCGATCCCATTTAGCAAAAAGTGTGAGCCACAGGAGGGAGCCTTCCAATGGCAGCATGGAGAAGTTTGGGCCTAAGGAAGAAACTGAGCTAGATGACCATGGAAGTAAGGTCAGTCTGATGGGGGAAAGCAGTAGGGCCTGGGGTTGCTCGTCCCCCTCCCCCCCCAGTTAGCCAGAAGGGAGACCCTCTTAGGGGGTGCAGAGAGGCTCTGACTCACAATTCCAAAATGTTCAGGGTTTGGGAGACCAAACAATCTCACCTAAGTATCTTCTCTGGCAGGGGTGGATAATTACAGTAACTAGTCCTCAACTTACAACCACAAATCGACTTCCCCCCCTGCATCATTTACATTGTTAAGTGAGACAGTTGTGTTTTTGCCCCATTTTACGATTTTCCTTGCTACAGTCGCTAAGGGAATCACTGCAGTTGTTTAAGTCAGTTGGGAACTGCAATTGCTTGTCAAGCCCCTTCCATTTTGACTGTGGTTCGGTGAGCGTGTAAATCAGCGGAGCTGCAAAACACGGAAATAAAGGGCAGACACCGCCGAACTACCAATTTGCCTGAACCGTTCCGAACTGGCAGAATCCCAGCCCTGGACTCTGGTGTATTTTAATCTCTCCAATGAAATTGTAATAGGATTTTTATTATTTTTATTTTCTTAACAACAGCTTTCCAGAATGAAAGGTGATATCGGGGGCTACAAGGACGGAAGTGCTGCGCCGTTAGTCCACTGCGTTCGCCTCCTGTCGGCCTCTTTTCTGCTCACGGGAGAGAAAGGGGGTGAGTCGAGCCCCACGGAGACCCTGCGGAGAAAGAACAAAGCCGTCAACACCTTTACACTCAGGACAATTAAGAATTTAAAAGGAATAAAAGATTTTGAAAATAGGCCGATGCTAAATTAGGACACCTCGGTTTAGAGCAGCGTTCCCAACCTTCTGTGATGACCTGGGGCATGACACAAAAATAAAGTCACAAAAGTAGAATAAATTCCCTTTAATCCCTCCAACTTGGCCCCAATATCCAATTATCCTCGGCTGAATAACAAACTCTTCAAAAAACAGTCTACGAAGGGCAGAAATGCAGCCCGAACCCAAAGTAAAGATAATTAGAAATTAAAAAAACCAACACAAACCACACTGCAGTAATTAACACGGCAGGCCAGGATGATAAATTGCAGACTTTCAAAGGATAACGCAGCACCCACAGTTGGGAGGATGCCAAACCCAGATAATGCACACTTTGCTTCCAGTTTGATGAGTGACATTGAGCTGGCCATAGAAGTCCCTTTGGGGGAAATCACATGACCCCGGGACGCTGCAACCGTCATAAATATGAGTTAGTTTTCCAGCATCAGAATGGAAATCCTTGTGACCTCAGGGACACTGCAACGGTTGTCTGTGTGGAAAAACGTTCCCAAATCACTTTTTTCCATGTCGTCGTGACTTTGAATGGTCACTAAATGGACTGTTGTAAGTTGAGGACTACCTGTTGTCAGGTTTCCAGCAATCGCCCTCGTGAAATCATGATTCTCGAGCCAAACTTCAAAAAACCTCAAAGGATTCATTAGAGGTGACATACTGGCCCTGCCTTGTATGAAGTCAACTTTGGCATATGTCATTTGCAGTCACCTGTGACCCTGTTTCCCCCCACCCCTGGGTGTGTTATAAATCAGATTCTCCAACTGAGCACCTTCACAGGCTGGGTGTCATCAATCACGTTCTCCAATTAAATATTTTTGCAGCAAAAGTGCTGGTATTTTAGTTACAATCTTTTAAGAGTTGGAATGTACTTTTGCTTTCAACTGCTCTTCCAGATTTCCTTCCTCCCCCTCTCTTTTTTTATGGCAACTACTAAAACAGGCACAGGGATGTTTTATGAGATGACACCTGTACTGAGCCAGCCACCTGAATTTTTCTGTTCCCTTCTTCTAGCTCTGGTGCCGGATAAAGACGTCAGGGTCAGCGTGAAAGCCTTGGCCATCAGTTGCGTGGGGGCAGCCGTGGCCTTGCACCCGGAAGCTTTCTTCAGCAAACTCTACAAAATGCCCACTGAAAGTAACAAAGAAGAAAGAGGTAGGTGTGTTTGGTGGATTTCTTTAAAAAAAAAAAAAAAACCAAAACTTTATTTTTACCTTGGTTTAAAACAGGGGTGTTCTCACCCAGCTCCCCAAACACAGCAGAACCTCTGAAGTTAATTCAAAGATTCCTTTATTAGGAGCGCCGCCAGCCGCAGCAAAATGTTTCTTGCTCACAGGCTAACAAGTCCGTCTGGCAGGGGAAATGAATAGTTGCCTGCTACTATTCGCTAGCAGTGGTGGCTTTTTCGTCCCTAGGACCAGCTCATAGATTTCCATTGCTCTCCTCTTCTTCATCAGCCACCTTCTTCTGTCCCAAGGAACGGCCCATAGATTTCCACTGCTCTCCTCTCCCTTCTGCGCATCCATGTATCAGGCACTAGACCCAGCTGTTCCTCCTCTTCCTCATCATCCAACTACTTCTGTTCCAAGGAACGGCCCATAGATTTCCACTGCTCTCCTCTCCCTTCTGCGCATCCATGCCTCAGGCACTGGACCCAGCTGTTCCTCCTCTTCCTCATCAGCCACCTCCAGACCTGGGGGCTGTTGACTCTTCATCTGAGGGCTGATGAATGGCCCAGGCTCTAACCCTCTCTCTCTCTGACAGCTCCATTTCCTCATCCCCATTGGAGCTCTCAGGTTGCCTTGATGCTGATCCGGACTACTCGCATGCCTTCTCCTCCTCCTCCGATTTGGCTGTTGGAGGGGCCGGCAGTCGACAGGCCACAACAGCTCTGTAGGTGCAGGTTCTGTAGGAGGCGGAGTGGCAGAGTCAAGGGGGGGGGGGGTTGGACTAGATGACCTACAAGGTCCCTTCCAACTCTGTTAATCTGTAATTGAGAGAATAGAATAAAAACAATAATAACAGACTGTGACAACCAAGATCCGTAGAAGGCCTTATTGCAAGGTATTTGCAAATACTGGACCCAACTCCCAATAGCAGATTAGGGGAAGGAGACACCCCCCCCCCCTTAGAGTATTTAGAGCCTTATATAGGATATCACGTTTAAAAGATTACATAATACTTCCAGTTTTTTACACATAGGAGTTATAGGGACTTTCATAAGAAAGAAATGGGTCATCCTGGGTGTTTTTCCATAACTCCTCCCAGACTCCTTCCATGGAAATCCTCTAGCTCTCCTCATCTTCATCATCATCATCATCAGATTTCCTGTTTTTCATTTAAAAGATTACACAATAGATCATTAATAAACTTCCTCTAATGTCAGGGCGACCTAGTATGAATTCTCAAATCAAGCCAAGGACACAATATTTTGTAACTTTGCAGAACTTTAGCAAAATAACAAGTTATATAAATGTTCTGATATCTAAAAGGTCAGATTAAGAACAAATATGGAGTCTCTTTGGTTTATACATTCTTAGGTGTATCATGCCAATTTTCACATATAACAGTAATCTATTCCATGTAAAGCTGCTTTTTTTTCCATTGACCAATGGTGGTTTTTGTCTTATGCTCCGGAGTGTCTTGTAACTCCAAAAAATATGGTACATCTGTGTGTGGATTTTTTTCTTTGTTGATGCCCGATTTATTTTTTCTAGAAGAGCAGTCCGTGAAGGACATTGTGAATTATATCGACCACGGAGACCCCCAGATCAGAGGGACAACCGCGATTTTATGCGGGACCATTATTTACTCCATCCTCGTCCAGTCTTGCTTCAGTGTGGAGAGCTGGCTGGAAAATATAAAAGCCTCAACAGGTAACGTGGGTTGGAGGCCTAGATTTTGCGGCCAAAAGCATTCGGATCGGAGGTCGGCAACCTTAAATACTCATAGAGTCACAAAAATCCTAACCCTGTGATGGTGAACCTATGGCACGTATGCTGAAAGTGGCACACAGAGCCACTTCTGCCGGCATGCGAGAGGTCACCCAGAAGAGCCCTATTGCACATGCGTGCGCACCGCCCACCCGCCTGCTGATTGTCGGGTATCTGGCGCGCATGCTCAGAGGATGGGGGTACGTGGGAGATGTGCGCGCATGCACAGAGACGGGCGCGTGGGGGGTCTCGCATGCATGCGTAGAGATGTGCAGCATGTGGGGTGCCCCATGCGCAGGGGGTGTGGGGGGGTGCGCGCATTGCCTTCTGGGTGCTGGCATGCGAGAATTTTCAGCACGGGAGCCCAAAAAGGTTAGCTACCACTGTCCTAACCAGAAACTTCCCATTCAATTTTGGAGCCGACCGGAAGTCCAGTCCCCCCACCATAGAGTCTCCACCTAATGCAGCGTCCTTTTCCCTTTTGCCGGCCAGCAACCGGGAGCCACAATGGGGGGGTAAAAGAGCCACATGCGGCTCCAGAGCCACAGATTGCTGACTCCTGGTTCAGATGAAGGGTGGCATGACCTCTGCTCTTCTTTCTCTTCAGATACGCTGGTGGAGTGTGTCTCCTTGCTCCAAAAGAGCCTGAAAGACGAGTCTTCGGTCACGTGCAAACTGGCTTGCATAGCTGTGAGGGTAAGCAAATAACCTTTAAAACATAACGTGTGTTGGTTATTTCTTCCCCGAGGGCCCACCAAGTGGGTGTCATGGGGTCTTGTGAGGGTCTGTGACAATTCGCCACGGGCAACGTGCCATGCCAACTTGCCACGGGCAACTCACTGCAGGACAACTTGGTGTGGGAGCAGAGTTACACTAATGCCAAAGAAATAGTGGAATAGAATCATTAAAAAAAGGATGCCAAAGGAGGGGCAGAATGAAAGGTGAATGGCAAAAATTAATTTAATTTTTAAATTTATTTTAAATAATTAAATAGATTTGTTAATGGGTTGTCCTGTGGCCAGTTGGCCTCGGCGAGTTGTCCTGCAGCAAGTTGGCTGTGGTGATTTAGCCACGGCAAGTAAGCCATGGGGAGTTGGCCATGGGGAGTAGACCACGGCAAGTTGATTGTGGCGAGTAGACCATGGTGAGTAGACCATGGCGAGTTGGCGACGGCAAGTTGACCATGAAGAGTTGACCGTGGTGAGTAGACCATGGCAAGTAGACCAGGGCGAGTAGATCATCGCAAGTTGGCTGGAGTGAATTGGTTGTGGCAAATTGTCCCATTCCGTTCTTATGATAACTAGGAACTTTCAGAGAAACCCTGGATCTTCCCCCTCTACAAAGGAACCATTTAAAATAAGTTTTTTTTAATTTGAATTAAAGATAAAGATTCCCCACTTCCACCTGGGGGAAATCTGCTCTTCCCTCTCTGCTCCCACTCTTTATACGTGAACATTCTGAGTGATCTATCTAGGGGAAAAAAATCTCTCAGTTGTCTCTGTGATAGGTTGACCTACTAAGTTCGTTCAAATTGCACCTCACGTTTGCACGCTTCAAATTTGGAAGCCAGGATCTCGGTCTACTTCAGCAAGAGAAGCTCTAATCAACAGAATAACAGAGTTAGAAGGGACCTAGGAGGTCTTCTACTCCAGGGGTCCCCAACCTGCCAGACTGTGGCCCACTCCTCGTGTGCGGCGGCCGTCTTGCAGTTGCCCGTGTACCACTTGCAAGGAACTGTCCCCTCTCTTCCCCTGCTGGGCCACCAAGCAAGAAAAATTGGGGGACCGCTGTTCTAGTCCCAACTTCCTCCTCAGACAGGATGTTCCATCGCATGAGCTTGTCACAGTGTTGAATTCCAGTAATACACGGTCACTTCCTTCCAAGGTTCCTGTTCTCACCTAAGGCTTCCCCAAGATCATAAAGCAGACTCCTCGTCCCGATAAAACCCCTTTTATTGAGGTTAAAGGGAATTCCTCTCCAGCAAAGTCCCGGCCAACAGTCTTCCATGAGTTTCACAACTACGGAATTTTATCAGGCTTGGAGAATTGCCAGGCCAATAGCTTCCATGCGCCATGCTGTAGCAGTCAATGATTGGCAAGAAGTCAGGAACAGATCTTCACCCTCATTAAATGAACTAATTGTCTCCTGCAAACCCCACTCCCTTTTTGTTCCTCTTTATTCCCTATAGGAGGGACCATTCACCATCCACCTGTGGCTTTACTCCCATGTTGACGTTGTTCCTTAACTGTTCCCTTCTCCTGGCAGATCTGCGCATGTGCACACTGGGAACAGGTTCCAGCTGTTCTTCTTCCCCACTGATCTCCAACTCTGAAGGCAGCTGATAACTGTCAGACAGCCCTAGCCCCATCTCTGTCTCCGACACAGAGCCCTCGTCAGAGCCTTGCCCAGAGTCCAGGACTGGCCCATGTTTCTCCCAACCTCCTCCCTTTCCGAGTCTGCCACCAGCTCCGCTGGCCACTGGCCGGCCACAACCGTTCCTGCTACTTCAAGGCCTTTGAGTCATTTCAACCCCGTAAGCGAGAATGAACTCCAGTAGGGCTGACCCTCTGGTTCCCTTCTCTGCTTTTGGGGAGATCAAGTTGTCAGCTAGGTTTGTCAGGAATCTGTTTGACTTTCCACTAGGCGCAGAGTTTGAGGTCGAGGTAGTTAAGGTCTCCCCATTACTATGGTGTGCTTCCTACATACTGTTGTGGCTCTGAGGTTTGAGCCTGCTTTATTAGAGGACGAAGACTCGGACAATGGGGAAGAGGAGGTTTTGGAAATGCCTTCTTCCCCAGGACCTTCCTCTTCGGCAACGCCTTCCTCCCTGACTGTGCCTCAGGTGTCGGCAGATAACCGGGAGGGAAGACCTGAGGCTAATCAGGAAAAGGAAGAGGGCGTATCAGAGTCTCTGACTGAGAATCGGGCAGAGGAATGCTGGCTTGATGCGAGGCAGCGTCGCAGGCAAAAGTGCGAGCTGCAACGCAGAAAGAAGGGACGAATCAGAGACTGAGCTGAGGGACTGACACGCCCCACAGGGAATAAAAGTGGGTGTGTTCGCTCTGGGAACTTGTTCGGGACAACGTGTGATTTATTCAGAGGAGCTCCGGTGGTGACAGCTTGTGTGATTTATATTCCTGCTTTCTTGTCGGACTTGGCAGAGAGCGTGTGAGAGACTGCCAAGAACTTTATCGGTTCAAGGAATTTAACTCTATAATTACTGGATTTGCCTGCTTGTTTGTATTCAGTTGGAAATTTGGACTTTTCACCTCTTTTGTACAGGTGAGACATAACACATACCATGGGTAATTGACCAGCATTTGTTTCTCCTGTTTCGTCGGCCTGTAGTATCCACCTATGGCAATGTCATTTTTTGTTTCCTTTTATAGTGACCTCAATGCGTTCAGGATCAAGTCGATTAAACCCTGATTTACTGTATTGCTGAAAGGAATTAAACCTTTCTCTTTTCAGCACTGCATCATGAGCTTGTGCGGGAGCAACCATAGTTCCTTGGGGTTGCAACTACTGGTGGATCTCCTTCTCTTGAGAAACAGCGCTTACTGGCTGGTTAGGACGGAGCTTCTGGAAACGGTGGCTGAAATAGATTTTCGGTAAGCAGCCGTACGTTACTTCCCCACCCCACACTGACAAATTTAAAATCTAATGTTTTAAATTTTAAAATTTAATGTTTAGTGGTGTGATGGCCTAGAGGTGGAGCTCTCACCTAAACAATCAGGAGGCTGTGAGTTTGATCCTAGGTAGAGGCAGCTATTTCTCTCTCTCAGCACAATGAGAATATATCTGCCGAACAAAACTCCGCATTGGCAACAGGAAAGGCATCTGGCCATTAAAACACTCGGCTAGCTCCATTCAGTTGTCTAGACTCCACCCCGCAAGATGACGATCTAATGTTATGCTTAATCATAACAGTACCTTTATCTCCTTTTGCTGCTAAGGCTAATCCAATTTTTGGAAGAAAGGGACAGCAACCTGCACAGAGGGGATCATTATTACATGGGGGTGAGTAACTTATCCGGTTCGGGCTGAACCAATGTGGGTAGGGTTTGCATGCCTCGTTTCACGGCTTCTCAGAATGACCGAAAATAGTTATGAATGCATTCAAAGGGAGCTTCTCTTCCAGCTTGTTCTCCTTCCTGTAAAGTTTATCTGAGAGTCAGTGTGATGGAATGTAGTCTGGATTACCAGGAGGGAGGGCTGCACTCCAGAGGAGCAAGAGGCAACTCAGTTCAGATAGTGTGCGTGTGATGACCCAGGGTGGGATACAAAATAAACACAGTCACAAAAACAGGTGAAGCCCCTTTTATTCCTTCATTTTGCTTCAAAGCTCCAAATATCTTTGACTGGAGAAACTCCCCCACAAGCAGTTATGAAAAGGAGGAAATGCCGTTTAAGCTAAAAATGCCTATCAATTGTAAAGAGTAAAAACAACACAAACCACACTGAAGCAATTAAGGGAACCAGGTAAGATAAGGGATTGAAGATGTCCACAGATATCGGAACACCCACTGGGAAGGACTCCAAACTCAGAGAGGAACGACAGACTAGAGATATTTCCACGTTTTGTTTCCAGCACTGACCCATACGCATGTCCGTCCTTTTAACCAGTTCTCACAGCTGCAGCCCATGAAGAGGATCAAGGCCCTTTCCTTCCCCGTAGACATGCCATTCACGTCTCTCCCTTATCCTCTCCTTCCTGCATGCCCTAGGGTGGATAGGGGATGGGCCTGGGTCTTCCTCTGACTGCCCAGCCAACCTTTGCCCTTCCCCAGCCTCCTCCACAACCTCCAGAGCCATACTTCCACTCCCTGTCGGCTGTTCCTCCTCTCCCTTGGAGTCAATCTCCAACAGGGGCGTGACAGTGCGTGAGAGAAAGAGGGTGAAGTCAGATCCTCCCTAATTGTTCCCAGAATACAGGTAGTCCTTGGCTGAACGACCACGATTAAGCCTGTTAAGCCTGGATTCCCCAACGGGTGTTAAGGAAAGCAAACTAAACAGAACGTGCAGCGAAGTCAGATAGGAAGACAGGTAAATGTGTGAGATAAGCCTTCTCGTTAACACGCAGTAAAAATACAGATACGCTTGTGCTATCAAAAATTATAATTTATTCCATTTAAGAATTATAGCATAGTCATTATAAACAGTCCATTAGTCATATACCAAATTCAGTCAAGTCTTGTCGAGGATACTCTAATTGCAAAGTCCGTGTAGAATAGCCAGTGTCAGTACACATATAATAAATCTGTCCAAAACTTATCTTCTCTCCGTTGAGAAATATCTTCAAAGTAATCCAACACTTCTTCTCCTCCCCGATCCAGCAAGAATGCAGTCTTCAATAAGCCAGCCAGTAAGAGCCAGAGAGTGCCTTGCTGCTTATATAGTACTTTTACAGCTGCACCCTTAATTACATTCCTTTAGCTTAAAGTCACATACACTTTATCTGACAAACCATGATTCATCATTTTATTATCTTTACCCAAAACAGTTAGGGTAAAACAATGTTATCCCTAACAAAGCCCAACATTTCTATTGTTCAGCGAGACATCTGTTAAAGTGAGCTTTGACTCATTTTACGACCTTTCTTGCAACATTTGTTAAGTGAATCCCTGCAGTGCATAAGTTAGTAACCCGGTTGTTAAGTGAATCTGGCTTCTCAGCTTTGCTCATCAGAAGGTCGCAAAAGGGGATCACTGCAACAGTCATAAGTATGAACCAGTTGCTGAGCGTCTGAATGTTGTTCACGTGACCATGGGGAGGCTGCAACCGTCATAAGCATGAAAAACAATCATAAGTCATTTTTTGTGATGACCCAGAGTGGGATACAAAATAAACACAGTTACAAAAAGCAGGTGAAGCCCCTTTTATTCCTTCACTTTCCAAGCTCCAAATATCCTTGACTGGAGTCAAAAAACTCCCACACAAGCAGTTACCAGAAGGAGGAAATGCCGTTTAAATTATTAAGAGTAAAAAACAACACAAACCAAGCAAGATAAGAGCTGGAGGACGTCCACAGAAAACAGAACACACACTGGGAAGGACGCCAAACCCAGAGAGGAATCATAAACTAGGGATATTTCCACTTTGTTTCCAGCACTCGCCCATACGCATGTCCGTCCTCTTATCCAGTTGTCACAGCTGCAGCCCATGAAGAGGATCAAGGCCCTCTCCCCCCCAGTAGACCACGTCTCTCCCTTGTCCTCTCCTCCCTGCGTGCCCTAGGATGGAGAGGGGATGGGCCTGGTTCTTCCTCTGACTGCCCAGCCGGCATCTGCCCTTCCCCAGACTCTTCCACAACTTCCGGAGTCCCACTTCCCTCCCTGTCGGCTGTTCCTCCTCTCCCTCAGAGTCAGTCTCCACCAGGGGCATGACACTTTTTTTCAGGGCTGCTGTGACTTTGAAAAGGTCACTGAGCGAACTGTTGTAAGTCGAGGACTGCCTGTGTACGTTTAATGTTTTAAATAGTCTCTTTACCTCGGCAATATTTTTGCCTGTGGTGAGGAAAAACAAAGAACTGCTTAGAAGAATCTCAGAATGTCCTTCTTGGGTTTTAGCATCCTTTTAAGACGGAACCCAACAATGGACTTCTGTCTGTCTTAGGTAAAGTTAAAGGGTTCCCCTCGCTCATATGTGCTAGTCGTTCCCAACTCTACGGGGTGGTGCTCGTCTCCGTCACAAAGCCGAAGAGCCAGCGCTGTCCGAAGACGTCTCTGTGGTCAAGTGGCCGGCATGACTCAACTCCTTCGAAGGCACACGGAGCGCTGTTCCCTTGCCACCAAAGTGGCCCCTATTTTTCTACTTGCATTTTTACATACTTTCGAACTGCTAGGTTGGCAGAAGCTGGGACAAGGAACGGGAGCTCCCTCCGTCACACGACGCTAGGGATTCGAACCGCCAAACTGCCGATTTTTCTGATCAACAAGCTCAGCGTCTTAGCCTCTGAGCCACCGGCATCCCTCACTCTGTCTTATTAACGTGTCGTTATTTTGAATATTATTATAGGTGCAGTGTATAAGCCCCTTAAAATAGCTTTTTTTCCCCTCCCACAGCTGTTAAAACTGCAGGATCGAGTTCTAAAGGAAGTGGTCATTTCTCTCCTGGGCGACGAAGACCCCAGAGTGAGGCGTGTGGCCGCAGCTGCTTTAGTAAGGTATTCGTTCAGCGAACCTTAAATTTTTCTGCTGTTGCCCTATTTTGACCAGGCTTATATTTTGCGCAGAAAGGTAGCATATACCCGTGATGGCGAACCTATGGCACGCAAGCCGTCACCCCAGATCAGGTCCACTGCTCATGCGCACCCGCCTCCTGCCAGCCAGATGATTGTTGGGTATCTGCTGTGCATGTGCGAGAGGCGGGGGCGTGCGGGAGGTGTGCATGAATGCACAGAAGTGTGGGGGTGAATGCGGGGGGTTGCGTGCGCATGGACTAGGCGGGGTGTCATGCACACATGCATAGGGGCAGGGGAGGGTCTCACGCACATTGCATTATGGGTGCAGGCACATGTGCACGCACTTTTGGTACGCGACAAAAAGGTTAGCTGTCTCTGGCATATACTGTCAACCTGGCGCATAATTGGAATTACGCTTTGGGAATAATAATTGTCAACAGTCAGGGGTTTAATACGGAATATGTATCATGGAAAGACGGCAGGTGCATTCCAAATCACATTTATCTCAGAGCTCCCAAAAGTAGAAAATGTCAACTCCTAAAACATTTTGTATACACGCTTTATAGTTGACAACAGAAAGAAGTGGGGGTGGGGGGGGAGAATTTCAAAGAGCAAGCGGCAGTGTGGAATCGAAAGTAAATTCCATTCATATTTTCTTCAAAGACTGATTAGATGACTAAAGCTTCTGCCGTGCAAAAATCTAATTGGGGAGCATGATTGATGATTCTTGGCTATGGACGTGTTTCGTTGGATGATACATCCAGAGGCGTGGGGGGGAAAGCAGGATTAAGGGTGACAGTGAAATACGCATCTCAGAGTTGGCTACGCTCAAGTAAATGCCAGATGTAGAATGTTATCTTCAAATATTTTTTAGTTTTGGGAGTGTGGCTCGAGGCTCATGATTTAATTGGAGTAAATACCGGAATCCTGACAGAAAGTTTATATTCTCATCTGCGGAAAGATTTGGGGTGTTTCGGTGGCAAAAGCGGAATATTGAATGGCAAGAATGGAAGTGGTTGCTTATCACCGTAAAGAAAGGGAAATTAAATGCCTTATAGGTAGCTCTCAACGACCACAACTGAGCCCAACGTTTATGTTGTTAAGTGAGTTTTGCCCCATTTTACAACTTTTCTTGCCACGGTTGTTAAGTAAATCACTGGCTGCCCTGTATCAGGATTCCCATTAACATACCCACAGCAAACAAAACTCTGAGGCAGGCAAATTCCTCAAAGAACAGATTTATTGGATATATGTCATATTGGCACAAGCTGATGAAAACCGACTCTGAATATTCCTGCGGTTTTCATCTGATTAAAAGTGAACGTTTGTCAAAACAATCAGTCATGTGGTCCAATCAGGATACTGTGCAGTTGCTAGGGGACTCCAGTCCCCTCCTTCCGAGCACCTGCAGGAATGTCCTTGGTTCCCACAAGAAAGTATTTTGTTTTGGCTACAACACTCCAGCTATCTCTGTTCCTTTCCCTCTTCCCTGGTGTGTCAACTCTGTAGACTCAAAATGGCCACAGTCAGACCAGCTTCAGGGTTGACACTCAGTGGTGATCAGCCCGCGGCCCACAGATTGATGTAGATGTTGAATGGGAAAAGCCCCAAACCTGGCAGCACCCTCTGAAGTAGGGGTCGAGGATGGGATTCTCCCTCCCGGTCAACCCCAGGTGGTCTTGGCCCCTGAAGAAGGAAGAGAACCAGCACAATACAGTCCCAGCCACTTCCAGTCCCCTTAGAACTGATCCAGAAGGATGCCATGGTTGGTTATACCAAAGGCCACTGAGAGGTCAAGCAGACCCAGGACACATGTTCAACTCCCATTCCACTCCTACTAGAGATCAACCAGAAGGATGGCCAGTGCCATCTCCCAACATCTCATGTCCAGGCCCGAAGCCAGACTGGAAGGAGATTGTTGTGGCCTGTCAGCTGCCGGCCCCTCCGGCAGCTGGATCAGAGGAGGAGGAGGCGTGGGATAGTCAGGGCCAGCATCAAGGCAACCTGGGAGCTCCGAGGGTGAAGAGGGAATGTAGCTGGTAGAGAGGGAGGGAGGGAGAGAGAGAGTGTGTCTGGGCCGTCCGTCAGCCCTCAGATAAAGAGTCAACAGCCCCCAGTTCTGGAGGTGGCTGATGAAGAAGAGGAGGAACAGCTGGATCCAGTGACTAATGTGTAGAAGGCAGAGGAGAGGAGAGCAATGGAAATCTATGAGCCGGTACTTGGGACAGAAGAGCCACCGCTGCTAGCGAAGCCCCACCCTAGTTCTGGGGATAAAAGGCAGGGGGCAGAGATGAATAGATGTGGCAGACAACTGTTCATCTCCCTGCCGGAGAGACTTGTTTGCCTGCGGTGAGAGAGAAACTTTGCCGGGGCTGCGGCACTCCTAATAACAGAATCATTGATTGATTACAGAGGTTTTATCGCGATTGGGGAGCTGGGTCAGAACAGAGATAATCTGCTTCATTCAGGGCCTGTGTGTGTGACCACCTGCATGTGACCATTTTCTCCACCACGTTTCCACGAAAAGGATGCTTGGACACTGGATGGAACTTGCCCAGGGTGCTCCTGATTTTCTTCTCTTTTTTTCTTTTCTTTTTCCCTCTTAATGAAAAAGGCCCTTCTCGTTTTGTCTCTCTTGGTCTTCCTCACAGGCTGGTTCCAAAGCTGTACTCAAGTTGCGACGCAGGGCAGGCCGATCCGGTCGTAGCTCTGGCCAAGGAGCAAAGCAGCATATACCTGAAGCTTCTGATGCACGAAACCCCGCCCGCTTCCCAGTTTGCAGTGAGCACCATCACCAGGTAGGGCTGCATTTAGCAGGCAATAATAAAAAAAAACGCCTAGGGCAGTGGGGGCTAACCTTTTTGGGCTCCTGTGCCAAAAATTGTGCGCACGCTTGTATGCTGGCACTCATGTGCCAGCACCCAGAAGGCATGCACGCCTCCACCCCCGCTGCCCCCTTATCTGCACTGCGCCTCACAGCTGATTTTTGTCTGGTTTGAGGCCTTCTTTGACCTCCCAAAGGCTTGAGGAAGGCTTCTGCAGGCTTTGCAGGCCGAAAACTAGGCCCGTTATGTCACTTCCGTTATTTTCGGAAAAACAGGAAGTGACAAAACAGGGCTACTTTTCGGCCTGCAAAGCCTGCAGAAGCCTTCCTCAAGCCTTTGGAACGCCGAAAAAAGCCTCAAAGCGGCCAAAAATCAGCTGTGAGGCGCGCACATGCCCAGTGAGGTAAGTTTGCCTGCAGCTAGAGTGCTGGCACCAATGGCTCTGCGTGCCACCTGTGGCACACGTGCCATAGGTTCACCATCATGGGCTTAGGAGCATTTGAAATGTGGATTTACAGGTGGCCGTTAAGTAGAAGTTGGGTGGATGAAATCAGAAAGGAGGGGATAAGCCACCTGAGGAAGCCATTGAAACCATAAAAAAAAGAGCAAAAGGTAAAATATTTCGGACACGCAATGCGACACCCGGAAAAATACGGCCTAATTCACTTCATCCTTCACTCTTGGAGTAGGATAAAGCCTTCAGTAGAAGGGACACGTAACCCTCAGTTAACTATTCACATTTGGTACGAAAAGTTCAATGAGATGCGTTGGTGTTGTTCTAGAACGTACAGAGGATACAATCTGGTGCCAAGCCCAGCCGACATGACGGTGGAGAACAACCTTTCCAGAGTCATCTCGGCCGTGTCCCACGCGCTGACGACTTCGCCCTCCAGATCTCTGACGGTGAGTTTTGATTGCGGGGGCCCGTGATGTCAATGCAGGTTGTCCTTCACTTATAGCAACTCGTTTAGTGGTCATTCGAAGTGTGGACGTCCCTGAAAAGGGGTGACTCATGGTGGTTTTTCACACACTCTGTGGTCGCATGATCCAAATTCAGACGCTCAGCAACCAACTCGTGTTTATGATGGTCGCAGCATCCCCCCTCCCCCGGGTCACGCGATCCCCTTTTGCGACCTTCGGACCAGCAAAGTCAACGGGGAAGCCAGATTCACTTAACGACTGTGTAACTCATTTAACAATTGCAGGGATTTGCTTAACAACAAACATACATATACATATGTGTATGCATGTGTATATGTGTGTGTGTGTGCGTATATATATATATATATATATATGTATATATATGTATATATATATATGCACATCATACACACATATACACAAACACACAAACATTAATGTGTGTGCATATATACACAAACACACATACATACATACACACACACATACATACACACAAACACACACATATGTGTGTGTGAGTGTGCATGTGCATGTAAAAGGGGAGGAGAATTTATTGCATTTTCTGTTGTTTTTTCAGTACCCAGCCAGGGTATTGTCATCCCAAATTAACAACAAACTAATCTCTACATGTTAAATGTTACATTTATTTGGTCCATTTTTCCTCTTTTTCTTTTCTTTTGTAGTTTACAACCTCTGTCCACAATTGAGCCCAACATTTATGTTGTTAAGCGAGACATTTGCAAAATCAACGGGGGAAGCCGTGTTCACAACCATTGTCGCTTCCCTTGACGACTGCGGTGGTTCGCTTAACAAATGTGGGAAGAAGAAAGCTTGTAAAATGGAGGCGGAGCTCACTTGTCTCGCTCAGCGACAGAAATGTTGAGCTCAAATTATGGTCATAAGTCGAGGAGCTACCTCTGTTTCCCCAGTTGGAGTGTTGTTGTTGTTTTTAGCATTGCGCTCCTTTCTCGCATCTTAACTGCGCCATTTCTCTGTTGGAACTTGCTGCCACATTTCCCTCTGTTCCTGATCGTAATATTTCCCCTCCCCCAGTTTGGCTGCTGCGAAGCATTGTGTCTTTTGTCCTCATCCTTTCCGGTTTGCACCTGGAATGTGGGATGGCACTGCGGGTAAGTTGCAACTCATTCCCCCTTGGCTTACTGGGAAGGGAGTCCGGAGGAGGGAGGTCTCCAACCATGGCAACTTGTAAGACTTGTGGACTTACAACTCCCTTGCTGGCTGGGCAGTTCTGGAACTGATCTGCAGAACGTTTTTATGACCTGCTGGCTTTGGTCCCTTACCACAGTTATACCCAGTCCGATGAATTATTCTGTCCCCAGGGATGGTGTGTCCCATAAGAACAATTTTTTTGGGGGGAAGACACAAGTGGGCTGGCCCACATACAGTCTTGCCTAATCCAAAACCTCACACCAACAGGATGGCGAGGATACGCCTTGGTTGTGGGATGAATGTTCGTCGTCCCAAATTAACAACAAAGTAATCTCTACTAGGTGGTTTTTCCAAGAGGCCACTGGACATTCTGGTTTTTCTTTGATGATGTTTTGCTTCTCCTCCAAGAAGCTTCTTTGGCTCGGAATGGGATAGTGGGGAATGGAAGGATTTATACTCCTTGCAGATAGCTGGTCATTTGCATCCTTTTTAGAGGGTCGTTGAGGCCGCTTGGAGGCTTATCTGTGTCCCCAGGGTCTCCTGAGTGGTGCAAATGGGGGTAGAGCCTTCTTGGAACTGCTGAAAGGATCTGTGTTGTAGACTGGAGATGGATGATGTCGTATGCCTCTTCCTCTGTTGAGAGCGGGCTGTTGAATTTTGACATCGATAAACCTCCAGGTGGTCTCAACGAGACTCTAAAAAGGATGCAAATGACCAGCTGTCTGCAAGGAGTATAAATCCTTCCATTCCCCTCCATCCAGTCAGCGTGGAAGAAGCTTCTTCAGGATGAGAAGTGAAATGTCTTCAAAGAAAAAACAAGGAAGTCCAGTTGCCTCTTGGAAAAATAAAACACCTTTGGGGGAACAACCCTGATCTGGATGACGGAAAATCTCCATGGACACTCCACTTGCTTGCATTGGCTCTGCACCAGCTGTTCTGACGAAGTCTTCCCGAGACTGTAATTAAGCACATGCTTAGTTAAAACAACTCTTTGTTTTATTGCAACGCTGGGAATTATGTGCAATCCCAGCCAGTAATGAGTCCCAAACAGTTCCTTGAGATAAGCACCCACCTTTCTCTCCTTTGAATTGCTGCCAACAACTAAAGTGCCAAATGAATTATAAAAAAAAACCCAACCGAAGTACAAAGTCCACACAGAGCTTCAAGGATGAATCCGAACAGATTGAATGATTTTGCTTCCTGCAAAGGTTTCATCACCTTTGCCTGACTTTTTATCCCTTATGAGAGGGGCAATCACTTCCCAGCCTTACTCCCGAGTTGCCCCTTTTGTCTCAGCTGCTCTCGCCTTCTGGCAGCTCTGTGCATATGCACACTGGGAACAGGTTCCCCTTGTTCCTCTGCCTCGCTGCTGCCAGACTCTGGAGGCTCCGAAGTCAGCACCCCACTCCCAGATGGTCCTGGCCCCATCCCTGCATCGGACGCAGGACCCTCATCCTGAGTCCTCCCCAGACTCCCAGACTGGTCCCCGTTCTTCCCCACTGTCTGATTCCACTGCCGTCCGTGCAAGCTGCCGGCGAACCACAACACTTTGGCATTTATTCCTCCTGCGGTGGAAACTGACGATTTCAAATTGGCATTCCAGTTTTTCTCACCTGGGAGGCGTGGAAGAGTCTCAGGAGAAGAGCGCAATGGGGATGGTTGGCTTGCTGCTGTCTTTCCTTTCCTCTATTTCCTTCCCTCTGGATCTCTCTGCCCACCAAGACGCCTTAATCCTGGCTGGGAATTTGCTGGCAGGTAAGAAAAATATTTTTAATCTTCCCTCGCAGGTTTTTAAAACACCGACAAGCATTATTTGTCTATGAATGGTTGCGGTCTCAAGAAAAGAACCATGTTACAATCCAGCAAGACGGATACAAATTCTGATTGGGAATAGACTTTTTGGGATACAGGTAGTCCTCAAATCAATCAGAATAAGAGTTGGAAGGGACCTTGGAGGTCTTCTAGTCCAGTGGTCGCCAACCAGTGGGCCAGGGACCACTGGTGGTCCACGAGAAAATTTTGGTGGTCTGCAGAGAAATGTCCCCCCCAAAGCAATTAATCCAGGCTGCGCGGGAACACAAGGCTTGCGTCGCTTGCATTGCAAACAACACGAGGTAGTGAGGGGAGGGGGGAAAGGGTGGAGGTGGGGAACTTGCCCCATGTGGCCCACGCGCCTGGCCTGGCCACTGGGCTGCTTCTTTCCGCTTCTGCTTTTGGCTGCACGCAAGGAAAGCAGCAAAAGTCTTTCTTTCTCTCCCCCCCACCTCCACAGGAATGGGTCCCTGGGACCCTGCAAGGCCTCCTCCTCCAAGAGGCTGTGCCAGCAAAGACCCATTTCTGGCGGAGTTTGGGGGAGAGAAAGAAAGACTTCAGCTGCTTCTGCTGCTTTCCTTGCATGAACCCAAAAGTCTCCCTCTCTCCCTCTCCCTTTCTCTCCCTCTCCCCCCCCCCCCCCCCCCCGAGAACGAAGCTGGAGACAGTATCCTGCGATCCCAAATAAAGAAAAATCGATCGGTTGGAAAATGGGATGGGGAATTTTCCTGCAGACTTTTTTGGGGATTTTCCCAGGATCTCTGCTCCGCGGGATTTAAAATTATGAGTTTGATGGGCCCTGAGGTCTAAAAGTGATGGCACTCCCACAACTTCTGAAGGCAACTTCTATCCCATGGGTTGATTGTTCTCACTGTCAGAAAGTTTCTCCTTATTTCCAGGTTGAATCTCTCCTTGGTTAGTTTCCATCCATTATTCCTTGTCTGGCCTTCGGGTGCTTTAGAAGGGAAGAGAAAAGGGGGGATAAAAGAAAAAAAAAGGCATTGACTTCCGACTCCTTCGATGCAGTAATATAAGACGTTAACATCTAACCTCAGCTTTTTATTTTGACATCATAATAAAAAAAAACTATTATTTTATAATCGTATAAACTCAGCTTTTTTACTCTTTTAATATCAACTGAAACACTTTAGGGTTTCCTGCTTAAGCAGGGGGTTGGACTAGAACACCTCGAAGGTCCCTTCCAACTCTGTGATTTCTATTCCAGCCATTTCTATAAACAAGAAATCTACCTAACTGTCGCTAAAACCCCAAATCAAAGTTTATTTATTCGGGTTTTTAAGTGCCTATCGTGCTTTCAGCCACTGCCTCCAAATCTTTGCAAAACCCTTGGACGCAAAACGAGGATGAAGCCAGCGTTCCTACCACTAAGCAAGAGGAATCGTGGGCAGCCCTGGCTGATCGGACGCTTGCCCTGTTAGTCGATCACCTCTTTTCTCATTTGCTGAAGATCATTAACATCTGTTCCCACATACTGGATGATGTCGTTCCTGGCCCGACACTAAAGGTACGTTCCTTGCCTGTCAGTGACATTGCTGGCTTATTTTTGTCGGAGTTTGTAGCGATCCAGCCAGTACACAAGGAAATCATTCAACAGGATTCATTATAACAGAAGAAACATCTTTATATACAATAACACAAAATATGATGCATGTATACAATAACCATGCAGCTCTTGCAAAGTTTGTAGTTCATGAATTCTTATACACTGACAATTTTTAAGCAAGGGGAAAGGAAGGAAGGAGGCAAGGAGGGAAAGGGAAGGAGGGGAGGGAAAAAAGGAAGGAAAGGGGAGGGAGAGAGGAAGGGGGAAAGGAAACGGGGAGGGAGGGAAGGAAGGGAGGGGGAAGGGAAGGAAGGAGGGAGCGAAAGGGGAGGGAGGGAAGGGGGAAAGGAAGGAAGGCTAGCAGAATTACAGAATAACAAGAGTTGGAAGGGACCTTGGAGGTCTTCTAGTCCAGCCCCCTGCTCAAGGAGGAGACTATGCAATTTCAGACAGGAGGCTGTCCCGTCTCTTCTTACAAAACCTCCAGTGATGGAAGCACCTACATTACAACTTCCAGACTTTGTCCTTGCCCAAAGCTGATTATCTCGAAAGCAGTGAGGATGAGGATGATTTTTTAAAATTTTCTTGTTTTCCAGGCAACGTTACCGTCTCTCACCAACCCACCTTCGCTGAGTCCAATCCGGCGCAAAGCGAAAGAAAAAGAAGTTGCAGAGCAAACCATGGTAGCCATAAGCCCTAAAAAGACGAGTGAAAACAGCCCAGGTAAGGAGAACGACGGGACAAAATCGAATTGATTAAAAGAAGAAGAAGAAATTGACTATTAATAGAAGGCTCTTCAGAACCATTCCTTTTTAAGAGTTAAAATTGGTTTGCCAATTGCACCGGGGCAGATAGGACAGCACTCCAGAAGGTTAATGTCATTACCCAGAAGATCATGGGTTGCCCTCTCCCCTCTTGGGAAGAGCTTTATAGCTCCCGCTGCCTCAAGAAAGTTCAAAACATTCCCAAAGGTCCATCTCATCCTGGGAACCCTTTTTTTGAACTATTGCCATCTGGCAGACGGTACAGGATAATTAAAACAAGGACAAATAAGGCGAAAAACAGTCTATCCCAGGGCAGCTATCAATCCAGCTAACACCAACATGGCCACTTCTAATAAATCTTTTTTTTTTCCTCTGAGAGATGTGGCTAGAGACTTATGATTTGAATGGGGGTGGAGTTGTTGGAGCCCTGACAGCTATTACTAAAATTGCAGATGATACGCAGTGGTGGGACTCATCTCCCGGGGGTGGGGGAAGGGGAAGTCTGCCTACCGAGATGAGGTGGACCAACGGTTGCTTTCGTGGTGCGGAGAAAATAACTTGGTCCTCAACACCAATAAGACCAAGGAGCTTATAGTGGACTATATAGAAGGAACAGATCAGACCTCCAGCCCTTGCTTATCAATGGAGACCGAGTGGAGCAAGTGGCCAGTTTTAAGTTTCTGGGTGTTACCCTAAAAGACGATCTGACCTGGGGTGCTCACGTTGCAGCCCTGGTCAAAAGGGCCCAGCAGAGATTATATACTACTTGAGACTTTTCAGGAAACAACAACTGAATGAAAAACTGCTGGTGACCTTCTACCGCTGCACCATAGAGAGTATCTTAACTTATTGAACCTCTGTAGGGTTTGCCAATTGCACAGGGGCAGATAGGACGGCATTCCAGAGGGTGAACGCCACTGCCCAGAGGATCATGGGTTGCCGTCTCCCCTCTTATAGCTCCCATTGCCTTAAGAAAGTTCAAAAGGAACCCCCCCCCCTTTTTTTTTTAAACTATTACCATCTGGCAGACGGTACAGGAGAATAAAAACAAGGACAAATAGGCTGAAAAACAGCTTCTATCCCAGGGCAGGAACTCTTGAATTCCACCATATAGTACACTTAAGATGGTATTTAATTTCGTTGTATGATGTGCAATGACAATAAAGTAAATTAAACTAAAATGCTTGGCTTTAGAAGAGCAAAAGAACCATAAAATTTAAAAATGACCCTTTGGGAAGAGTGATTTGGCCCTCTTCCCCTTTTCTAAGGCCGTACAGGTGCTTGGCCTGAAGTGGGCAAAAAACAACAACAACCACAGCCCTAGGATGAGTTGGATTCGGACTTACGATTCACTTAATGAATGGTGGCTCACTTAATGACTTTTAAAAAGCCCAAGATTCGCCTAATGTCGCGGGGTTGCTGATTTGACAACTGCAGTGATTCACTTTTAACGACGGTGGCCAGGGAGGCGGTAAAATAGGTGGCCAATGTCTCGCTTCGCAAATAACTCGCTTAGCAGCATAAATTGGGAGGGCTCCAGTCATAAGTCAAGGACTACCTGGATAGAGAAGCTCTCGGGGGCTTAACGTTGTTAAAAGAATTTTCTCCTCTCTCTGCTTTTGATTCATAAGCTCCCAGGCCAAGTGACACTTCGAGCTCCGCTCCCCCGAGTAAATCCTCCTCCACGCTGGGCAACTTCTATCACCTCCCGTCGTATCTCAAGCTCTACGACGTCCTGAAGGCGACCTATGCCAACTATAAGGTATTTGTACCGAACTGCGTTTCCTGAGCAATCCGTGCCGCCCGTTAACCAATTCTGGAGACCTTCCTGGCTTGTTGACCCGTGGTTCTGGTTCTTTTTACGTTTTGAAAAATCTGGAGCCAACTCTCTGCCCTGCCCCTACAGTCAAGCAAGTAAATCGTTTTAAAGTTTGTGAGCCTTTTCCTTTTGCCACTTGGAAGAAACCTGCCTTGTTACTGTGCTTCCCCGAAAATAAGACCCTGTCTTGTTTTTTATTTTTTTGGTTTTTTTTTGCCACCAAAAAAGCCACCAGGTCTTATTTTCGTGGGATGTCCTCCACTGACTAACCTCACTTGTGCCGTTGCCCCTGGTCTCCTTTTCACTCTAAGAGGCCTTCAGGAACTCCTCCTTCTGCGGCCGGCGAGGCTTCCCTGAAGGCCTCTGCAGCTGATAACGGAGCTTTGTTATCCAGAGCTTTGTTATCTGCCACAGATCCAGAGCTTTGTTATCTGCTACAGATCCAGAGCTTTGTTATCTGCTACAGAGGCCTTCAGGAAACCTTGGCCGGCTGCAGAAGAAATGGGCTGGCAAGGCAGGTGTCAGGGTGTGCAAGGCCTGGCTACAACTGTCCAAAGGTAAGTAGTAGGGCGGTTCCACTCCTCCATCCCAACCACAGCTTAATTTTTACCTGCGCACTCTGGAGTGGGTGGGGTCTTAATTAGGGCTTATTTTGGGGGGTAGAGCTTATATTGATTGCTTATTGCTCCCTATGACTATCATTAAGTGTTGTACCTGATGATTCTGGACTCTTGATGAATGTATCTTATCTTGTATGTATACTGAGAGCTTATGCACCAAGACAAATTCCTTGTGTGTCCAATCACACTTGGCCAATAAAGAATTCTATTCGATTCTATTCGACTTGACTCGACTCTATTCTACATTGGGCGCAAAACCCTTCCTGTGCCTATTTCCTGAGCGGCCACAAAACTAGCATATATAGTTTAACTAAATGTTCTGTTTTCTTCTGAAACTTTCCTTTTCTTGGATTTATCCATGGGTTGGCCTACCACGAGTCGAAAAGCTCAATAAATCGTGTGCTGGCGGGTGTCACACACATTGACGGTTGTGACGCATATTTTGAGCAACGGAGCCGCAGCAGAGGCGTGAAAGAGCCACATACAGCTCCAGAGCTGTGGGTTGCTGACCCCCTGTCCTTCTTGTTGTATCTTATGATTAATGATTGTAACTATGGTAATATCACTTCGTTGTTTGTATGTACGCTGAGAGCTTCTGCACCGGAGGATTAAAATCCTTGCGTCTCCAATCACCCTTGGCCAACAAAAGAACTTTCTTTCTTTCTTTCTTTATTTGGTAAGGTTACACTCGATCTCCAAAACGTCAATGAAAAGTTTGGTGCCTTCCTGAGGTCAGCTTTGGACGTTCTGTCTCAGATCTTAGAACTGGCAACTCTACAAGACATTGGAAAGGTGGGTTCATGCTGGATTACGGTGTTTTTAAATGTCTCTTAAGCTGGATCAATTAGAGGAACATATGAAAGCATAATTTAATGTTAACCAGCTGGATACCCATGCTTCGCTACAAAGCTATGTGGTCGGGCTTAGTTTTGGGGGAAGAAAATAGGGGGGGGGGGGAATTCTGCCTCTGCCTATCAGCATCCATCAGTATTCCTCTGGCTAGCATCCTGTCAGTGTGTGAGTTGAGGGCTGTTTGGAAACTGAAATGGTATTTGCTGTGTGAGCAAGGAGACAGCAAGGAGCCTGTGCGTGGCTTAGCTCACCTGTTCTGTACTAAAGCTGCTTGCTGCTGTGAGAATAAAACTGAAACTTAAACTCCTCTCTGCTTGTGTTTTGCCTTTGGAAGAGATTTCTTTTCAGGTGGGGAGGGGGAGTAGAACTCCTTAGCATCACAGTTAATAATAATCATATAGGAAATACTCTAAATGCTCTGATGGCCATTTGGAAGAATCCTTTCTTAGTGAGCCCCTAGAAGCCAAGAGGAACACGTGTGCCAAATTTCAAGTTTGTAGGCTTTACGGTTCTGGAGATTTTGTAATGATGCCTGAGGGGGTCTTTCGCTTTTATATAGATAGATTAATAATTAACCTAGTTTAGAGCTTTGAATTCACCTCACAGGGTTGCAGCAGTGGGAAAAATAGGACATGCCTAGAAGTGTCCTCCTTCAAGAAACTTCCCGTACTTTACTATTCGTTTTGTTCTGCAGCCTGCTCTCAGTGCTGTCTGTCCAAACACCTAATTCTGTCTTTCTGTTTTCAGTACGTGGAAGAAATTCTCTGTTACCTGAAATCCTGTTTCAACAAAGAGCCAGTCATGGCAACTGTGTGTGTTCAGCAGGTAACAATATTTAAAACACGTGTGGGTGCGCCTTTCTCAGGGAAGTGTTCTCCCTTGAGTCAGCTCCTCCTCCATCTCTTTTTCTCCTCCTCCTCCTCCATATCTCCTCCTCCTCCTCCTCCTCCTCCTCCTCCTCCTCCTCCTCCTTCTCTCTCTCTCTCTCTCTCTCTCTCTCTCTCTCTCTTTTCACAAAGCTGCTTCTTCCCTCCCTTTCCCCAGTTACTCAAGACCTTGTTCGGCACCAACCTGGCCTCGCAGTTTGACAGCTGGTCTTCCAACTCCTGCCGAGCTCAGGGCAAATGCCAGCGCTTGGGCTCCTCCAGTTTGCGCCCAGGCCTTTACCACTGCTGCTTCATGGCTCCGTACACACAGTTCACCCAGGCCCTGGCCGATGCCAGTTTGCGGAATATGATGCAGGCCGAGCAGGAACGCGACACCTCGGGGTGAGAAGAGACACTTCCTTCCAAAACTGGCCACTTGCTTTGCCATCGTGCTTAGAGTGGTTGAGACGCAGGTGGTCCTCGATTTGCGACAGTTCGCTTAGTGTGTTAACTCATAAAACATTGCTATGCCTGTTTTTAGTAATTGTCTTGAAAGCGGAAGTACATTCCAACTCTTCTCTTTAAAAGATACTAAAATACTAAATACCTAAAATACCAGAGCCGGATCCAGTTAAATTTTAATGTATGCAAAAAGCAGTTGCCAAATAATTCTCTATTTTGAAAGGAAAAGGAGCCCTTTTCAGGGAAGCAAAAATTAAAAATTGCAAAGTCTCTTCACTGCCCTAGACTTTTAAGATGTTGGGATTATAAAGGTTTTATGGCTGTTTCTATGCCAAGAGTTTTAAGATTCCTAGAGCAGTGGTGGTATTCTACCAATTCAGCCCAGTTCGGCCGAACCGGTAGTAAAAAAATTTTTGAATCCCACCAGTGACCTAGAGATGTTTTGGGGAAGGCGGCGTACAAATGCTACTTTATTTTTACATTCATCTTAAAAGCATATCTTAAGTTGCATTAAGTTGCTGGGCCTGTTGCATTTATTCATTTAATCTGTTTCTGAGGATTGTAAGATTCGTTGATAACACACTAAACGAAATGAAATGGAAAAAAAATGGTGGGGATTATTAACCTAGCCAGGGTGAGGGTTTTTTCATGGATGTGCTCAGAATGGGGAAAACCAAGGGAGACATCAGTTAGGAAATAGGCAGTACAAATAAATAATAAATAAAAACAGACATAGCCCAAAATTGCTTTACAAGCCCAAGCTTGTCTCACACCTGGCAGGAGCTGCTTCTGTTAGCTCAGTTCCCGTTAAATTGCTTTTGTTGTGTGAATCATGGACGCTTAATCCTAACCCTGTATTCATGTTTGCTTTCATAGCTGGTTTGACATATTGCAAAAAGTTTCCGCGCAGCTGAAAACTGGTACCACGAATATGGCCAAGCACCGTGCTGACAAGGTACAAACCCAAAGCACATGTTGCTTGCTGTGTGTGTGTGTGGTTTTTTTTTAAGATAACTGTAAGAGAAATACGTCAAATATTTATCTGGGGCAGGGTATATTTTCTTTAAAAGTAGGCCAGGGGTCTCCAAACCCAGCAGTTTTAAGACTTGTGGACTGTGATGACCCAGGTGGGATACAAAACAAACCCAGTCACAAAAAAACAGGTGAAGCCCCTTTTATTCCTTCACTTTGCTTCCAAGCTCCGAATATCTTTGACGGAAGACAAAAACACTCCCACACAAACAGTTACACAAAGAAGGAAAAAAGCAACACAAACCAGGCAAGATAAGGGCTGGAGGATGTCCACAGATAACTACACACTGGGAAAGACCACCAAACTCAGAGAGGAACTATAAACTAGAGATATTTCCATGCTTTGTTTCCAGCGTTTGCCAGTACGCAGGTCCAAACTCTTATTCCGTTGTCACAGCTGCAGCCCATGAAGAGGATTAAGGCCCTCTTCTCCAGAGGAGACCACCTCTCTCCTTTATCCTCTCCTGCGTGCCCTAGGATGGAGAGGGGATGGGCCTGGGTCCTCCTCTGACTGTCCAGCCGGCTTCTGCCCTTCCCCAGCCTTCTCCACAATCTCCAGAGCCACGCTTCCACGCCCAGTCGGCTGTTCCTCGTCTCCCTCAGAGTCAGTCTCCACCAGGGGCATGACATGGACTTCAACTCCCAGAATTCCCCAGCCAGCTATAATGGTTAAACTGCCTGGGGAATTCTGGGGCAGGGGAGTTGAAATCCACGAGTCTTAACAGCTACCAGGTTTGAAGTCCCCCTGGTCTAGAATCTTGAAATAAATTATTGTGAATCTCACCACTAAATATTGTCCATGCAACTGAGGGTAGAATTCCTCTATCTTTCTCTGGGCATCTCCCATTTTCCACCTCAAAGGGGTTTCCTCCAATCTAAGCTACCTAGAACTAAGGAGAAATTGCCTGACGGTTAGAATAGTTAAATGAATGGAACGACTTGCCTTCAGACATTGTGAATGCTCCAAGACTGGAAGTTTTTAAGAAGAGATTGGACAGCCATCTGTCTGAAATGGTTTAGGGTTTCCTGCCTGAGCAGGGGGTTGGACTAGAGGACCTCCAAGGTCCCCCCCACCTCTATTATTCTGTTAATATCTGGCAAAACTACAAGATCTTGCAGGTAATTTTTTGTCTTCTGGACTACCTGTGTAAGAAGTCTAAATCAATGGTGGGATTCAAAAAATTTTAGTACTGGTTCTGTGGGCATGGCTTGGTGGGTGTGGCTTGGTGGGTGTGGCAGGGGAAGGTTACTACAAAGTCCCCATCCCCTCCCCACCCCACTAACCTGCTTTCCAGCTCCGTTCTCCTGTGCAGAGCAACCAAAGGTGACCCAGCCGATCAGCTGGGACTCAATGGGAGGCAGAGAATAGATGGGAGCAGGGCCAGTTGGGGGGGGGGTATTTGCCGGTTCTCTGAACTACTCAAAATTTCCACTAATGGTTCTCCAGAACCGGTCCAAACCAGCTGAATACTACCTCTGATCTAAATAAGAAAGGTGCCACTTTAAAAAACAAGGTGTGTCATGCCCCTGTTGGAGACTGACTCTGAGGAAGAGGAGGAACAGCTGACAGGGAGTGGAAGTGTGGCTCCGGAGGTTGTGGAGGAAGCTGGAGAAGGGCACAGGGCGGCTGGGCAGTCAGAGGAAGACCCAGGCCCATGCCCTCTCCAGCCAAGGGCATGCAGGGAGGAGAGGATAAGGGAGAAACATGAATGGCGTGCTCTACGGGGGAGGAAGGGGCCCTGATCCCCTTCATGGGATGCAGCTGTGAGGACTGTTTATAAGGACAAACTGCGCATGGCCCAGTGTTTTATCCTTGTCGGAGCTTATCTGTGTTTTGGCTTCCTCCCAACTGGGGTGGCTGCGTTATCTGGCAGAAGTCCACAATTAATCATCTGTGCCTGCCATAGTAATTCCTTCAGTGTGGTTTGCGTTTGTTTTTTTTATTTCGAATTAACTTTACTTTGAGTTTGGACTGCATTTACTCCCTCCGTAGACTGTTTTCTTTAAGAGTTTGATTTCCAGCTGAGAATAATTGGACATTGGGGCCAAGTTGGAGGCATTAAAGGAACTTTATTCTATCTTTGTGACTTGGTTGTTTTTGTGTCACGCCCCGGGTCATCACAGGGTGGCCCCCACAGAGCTTCCCATGAGTCTGTTAGATCTTGCTGCTGTTACAGTGGTGGGCTGATCCTCTGGGGGCTTTGAAGACGGGAGGCGAATTCTTTCCTGCTTTTCTTTTTGCCCTTAGTCCCACTGCTCTTCTCTTTCTCCTTTTAAGAATATCATCCACAATCACATCCGTCTGTTTGAACCTCTGGTCATCAAAGCGCTGAAGCAATACACCACCACCACCTCTGTCCAACTGCAGAGACAAGTCTTGGACCTTCTCGCACAGCTGGTCCAGCTGCGGGTCAACTATTGTCTTCTGGACTCTGACCAAGTGAGTATTCGGACTCTTGTTGCTGCAGCACAAGAGTGCAGCTGGTCTTCTTCTGCAGCCAGCCCCCCCCCCCCTTCCGTGCTCTGGATCAGGGATCACCAACCTTTTGGACCTCAGGGACCACCAAACTCCTAATTTTAAATCCCACGGACCAAAGACCCCGGGAAGATCCCCCAAAACTGTCTGCCGGAAAATTCCCCACCCCGTTTTCCTACCGATTGATCGTTCTTTATTTGGGATCGCAGGATACCGTCTCCAGCTCCGTTCTTAGTGGGAGAGAGAGAGAAAGAGAGAGACTTTTGGCTTCATGCAAGGAAAGCCGCAGAAGCTGCAGAAGTCTTTCTTTCTCTCCCCCAAACTCCGCCAGAAATGAGTCTTTGCCAGCGCAGCCTCTTGGAGGAAGCGACCTTGCAAGGTCCCAAAGACTCATTTCTGGTGGAGTTTGGGGGAGAGAAAGAAAGACTTTGGCTGATTTCCTTGCGTGCAGCCAAAAGCAGAAGAAGAAAGAAGTGGAAAGAAGCAGCCCGGTGGCCAGGCCAGGTGCGTGGGGCGCATGGGGAAAGTTCTCCCTCCTCACTCCATCATGTTGTTCACAATGCAAGCAGCGCAAGCCTTGTGTTCCCGTGGGCCATGTGGGGGTGGCACAGCCTTATGTTCCTGCGCAGCCTGGATTAATTGCTTTGGGGGGGATGCTTTGGGGGTAGCATTTCTCTGCGGACCACCAAAATTTTCTTGCGGACCACCAGTGGTCCCCAACCACTGCTCTGGATCACAGCCTATTGTGGGAGAAAAAAACCCAGCCAAAATCAAAGGGCGGCATTAAAAAAGGAAGCAGCCTAGAATTGCTACGTAGTCATAAGTGAACTAAATTAGTGAAACCGAATCATCGTGTGGGGTTTGGTCCTTCAGCGCATGGAAACTCAAGGAAAGGTGTGGTCACCTGGAGGCAAGCTGCAACATCTCAAGCCATTCCACAACCCTAGTCCACGGACTCCTCGACTTAACAACAGTTCATTTAGCGACCACTAAAAATTACAACGGCACCAGAAAACAATCGCTGACGTCCGTTTTTCAGACTACTTTGTAGTTTGTAACTTTGTAGTTTTTCACACCGTTGCAGCGTCTCGTGTGGTCACGTCATCAAAATTCAGGCGCTTGGCCACTGCCTCGTGTTTATGATGGCTGCACTGTCCCCGGGATCACATAATCCCCTTTCGCTTTCTGCCCCCCATCCCCCAACCTACCTATTTAAAGCTTGAGTAACAGAGTTGATTGAAACAATATACTGTATCAATGTACTATGGAGGTGCCACAAAAATTCAAACTGGCTTATTCGCTTAACAACTGCAAAAAAGGTGTAAAGACTAACCTAATAGGTAGATCAAATCACAGTTGCCAAGTTCTGTTCTGTTTTGTTCCCTGTTCTATTCTATTCTATGTTCTATATTTTCTATTCTATTCCCTTTATTCTATTCTTGTTCCTCCTTCTATTCTATTCTATTCTATTCTATTCTATTCCTTTCCTTTCCTTTCCTTTCCTTTCCTTTCCTGTCCTGTCCTGTCCTGTCCTGTCCTGTCCTGTCCTGTCCTGTCCTGTCCTGTCCCTTCCCTTCCCTTTGCTATTTGATTTGACTCTATCCCAATTCCCATTCCATTCCATATTTTCTATTCTATTCTATTCTATTCTATTCTATTCTATTCTATTCCATTCCATATTTCCTTTCCTTCCCTCCTCCCTTTTCTTCCCTTCCCTCCCCACCTTCTTCCTTTCCCTCCCTTTCTTCTCCCTTCCCTCCCCTCCTTTTCTTCTTCCTTTCCTCTCTTCTCCTTTCCTTCCTATCCTATCCTATTCTTTCTCTTTCCCAATGGAAGGAAATTTGTGCAAGCAGAAATATTTTTCTCTTCAAGATCTCAAACCTAAGAGGGTTTGTCTCCATCCTTATCCAAACAAGACATTTGACAATTGAAGTCCTGTTCAGTTTCTTTTTGTGCTTTGTTTTCTTTGACATAAGTATAAGTGGCAGTTATGAAACACCCAGTTAAGAGCTGTTTATTCTTCCCATCGGATGTCACGGTCTGTTTTATTCCAATTTTATATGGAGATAATATAAGAATGTACCCACCGATGTTTGCCGAAATTAATCCAGGTGTTTCTTTTGGCTTCCAGGTATTTATTGGATTTGTGCTAAAGCAGTTTGAATACATTGAAGTCGGCCAATTCAGGTACAAGTTCCAGCATAGGCATGTTTCCTTATATATATTTATGCGAAATGGAGGCTTAACACTAACAGGTGATTCTGAGCCTTGTTTCTTCTTCATCATCATCATCAAAAAGTAAGGGAGACAGGGAGGGCGGGCAATAGCAATAGAATTTAGACTTATATAGCAATAGCACTTAGACTTATATCCTGCTTCACAGTGCTTTACAGCCCTCTCTAGGCAGTTTACAGTCAGCCTATTTACCCCCAACAATCTGGGTCCTCATTTCACCCACCTCGGAAGGACGGAAGGCTAGTCAACCTGCAGCCAGTCAGGATTGAACTCCTGGCAGTCGGCAGAGTTAGACTGCAATCCTGTATTCCAACCACTGCGCCACCACGGAAGGAAGGAAGGAGAAAATGAAAAGGGAGGAAAAAGGATGGAAATGAAGGAAGGATGACGGAAATGAAAAGAAGGAAGGAAAAAGGATGGAAATGAAGGAAGGAAGGAGGAAATGAGAAGGAAGGAAGATGGAAATGGGAAGGAAGGAAGGAAGGAAGGAAGGAAGGAAGGAAGGAAGGAAGGA